TCTGGTTAGTGTGATGTTGGAAAGCATCTGTTTTATATGCTAGAATAGCACGATTTAAACTTGGATCTATATGTAGGTCACTTATTGCAAATCTATCTGCTGCTAACTGCTACAAGTCTGACCATTTGAAGAAGCCAGAGAACTGGGCGTTGGGTACTCATTTTCTTTTATTTCCTTGTTTTGGTTGGACTATAAATTGATTAAACTTGCTCGTTGGAGAAAACTCAATAAGAATAATTGAAATAAAAAGCCATCACTACTAGGGACTAACTTGTTTGTAAATATTTTTGTGCAGTTGAGAAGGCCAAGTACTTCTATATTGCTGGATTTTTTCTTACTGTGTCGCCAGACTCGATACAGGTTGTTGCTGAACATGCAGCTGCAAAGAACAAGGTACATTATATGACGCTCGGCTGAAATCCCTCTTTATGAAAGTTCATCTGCTTGGTGATCTGACTTGTTTATTTTGAATGTAGGTTTTTGCGATGAATCTTTCTGCTCCATTTATTTGCGAGTTCTTCAAGGATGCACAAGAGAAAGCTCTACTGTAAGAACTTTCATGTTTTCCTTCTGTGGAAATTAATTCTCGTGTACAGAAAGTAACTCTCTGGATTTATTGTCTATCAGGTATGTGGACTTTGTCTTTGGAAATGAAACAGAAGCGAGAACCTTCTCAAAGGTTCATGGCTGGGAGGTAATAAGCTGCTCTGAATATAAGATGCTATTATGGATTTGAAGTGGATTATGTTTGTTATTGACCTGTTTGAGCTAGTTCTGTCTTCCAGACTGACGATGTTGCAGAGATAGCCCTTAAAATTTCACAGTGGCCTAAAGCATCTGGAACATACAAGAGGATCACTGTCATTACTCAGGGTGCAGATCCGGTAGTTGTTGCTGAGGATGGGAAAGTGAAGCAGTTCCCTGTTATATTGTTACCCAAGGAAAAACTGGTTGATACAAATGGTGCAGGTATACGACCTTTCCCTTTCACTACCAGGACTTGACAATTTGTAAATCCTAAATGACCTTACCATGTTTGAGACATAACCCGAAAAAGGAAGAGTGGATGAAATTGGCACTATTTAGTTTTCTTATGATTTAATCCAATTTTGCATATTTGGCGAGTCAAAAAGTAAATCACAACGGCATAATGGAGTCGATCTAAACGATTCAATGCAATTTTTGTGTAGGTGATGCATTCGTTGGAGGCTTTCTTTCACAATTGATTCAAGAGAAACCCATTGACGTTTGCGTAAAAGCTGGCTGCTATGCATCCAATGTTATCATCCGAAGGTCTGGCTGCACGTACCCAGAAAAGCCTGAATTTAAATAAGTTATTCCACTTCATTGGTGTCCTCTCCAGTGTGCGTTTTTAAGGTTTTTCGTCGTTGAGAACCTTCTTGCTAGCATTTGATCTTTGAATTTTGCCTTTTTTTTTATGATTTGGTGGCCATTTCCATGGCTGTCCTAAAATGGCATGAGAAAATTGGTGTATGAGACATTTGATCTATATTCATCCATATTTAGAGGAAAGGACATGGTTAAGATGATGAGTTTGTGGTAAATGCTGTTTATGGTTTTGCTTGCATTGGAAGGCATTTCCATGTGCTTGCATTAACGCTTATAAGTTGAAAGACCAAACCCTACTAATCTACTGGGTAGGGATGGCAAACGGGCGGGTCGGGTGCGGATATCCCCTCCCCATCCCATACCCATCTAATATTTTTCAATCCACCACCCGCCCACCACTTATGATGGGTATAAATTTTCAAATCCACACCTGCCCACGCGGGTACATTCTCAAATCTATCTCCACACTCACTATTCACTGGAGACGTATCTGGCTAGACCCGCCTGACAACAAACTTAAGTTATACATAAGAAACAAACATAAAACAAACACATCTATTAAGAAACATAATAAAATAAACCAATGATTATCTGAGTTAAGTGTTAATATAGATCTTAAAGTACATAAAACATCATAATAAAAGACATAATTAAAGTCTAGAAACATAAATGACAAACACATAATGTTTTTGTTCTTTGACACAACATTCTAAAATTTCAAGCAATACTTGTGACATCTGATACTTCAGTATTACAATCATCATTCTCATAAAACACCATAATAAAACACCAATATTGCAAAATATTCGGTTGAAATTTGAATTTGAAAAAGTCTGTTTCAATGGCGTTAAAAATATAGGTTTGAGAAGCACAAGTGAAACACTTAATTCTATTCAGTGGCGTTAAAAATAGAGATTTGAGAAGCAGCGATCTGACTCTGTTAGCAAAAAACGTGGGTGCTCAGTCACAAGATACTGATTTGTAGAACATTAAGAAATTAAGCTTAAAACAAACATTAAGATGAATCTAAAAAATAATTAAAAACAGTACGAGCAAATAAAAATTAAACTCTTAAAACGAAATGCAGAGGAGCTTAAAACGAAATTACTACGGAATTGACTCTTACAAAAATTAAATTTCAAGTAAAAAGGGAAGAAACATACCTGAATAAGCTTGAGAGTGAAGACAAGAGGTTTGAAAGAAAAACAATTATGCATAAACTTATCCCTAATATTTGGTTAAATTACAAGTTATATCTTATACAATATTAGGATTTATAAATTAGCTCTTAAAATTACACCTAAATTCATAATGGTCCAAAATTTAATGGATATTTAGTGGGGCGGGCGGATGTGGGGCGGGCGGATGCGGGGCGGGTGGATGCGGTGCGGATGCGGGGCGGGTAATGTCTCAAACCCATTACCCGCCCACTACCTGCGACGGGTACCACTTTCTAAATCCACATCCGCCCACTACCCACTAAAATTATACCCATCCCCGCCCCAATTGGAGCGGATGCGGTGCGGAATCCACGAAATTGTACCCGCTTGCCATCCCTACTACGGGGAATAATGTGGTTTACGATTTTGATAAGGAAAAAGATTATAGAGTTTGGTATTGAAAATTTCCTCTTATACAATCTTGTTAATTTTGGAGTGAAGTTTTTATGCATGATTTTCATTCATCACAATTTTCAAATATGGATTTTACACATGCATGATAATAATTAATGTTGATGATTATGTTGATGATTATCACAATTTTCAAGTATGTGTTCTACACATGCATAATAATGATTAATGTTGATGATTATGAATTGCCGCAATTAAACCCCCTTAGCCTGATGATTTCGACGAGAAGAGGTATTTCTCGGTTAGCTCAGCATATAATGCACTGGTTGGGTCTAAAGCTGTGGACGAGCCAAATTGACTCGAGTATTGTTCAGTTCGTCTCGACTCAAAATTTTTAAAGTCAAGTTGAACTCGAAAATTCACGAGCTTAAAATTGTCAAGTTTGATTCGAACTTGAAATAAAAAATTAAAGCTCAACTCGAAAGTTCGTGAGCTTTGTGTACATTAAAGTCTTATATAGTATTTTTTTTAATAATATATAAATGTTAATATTATTAATAATTTAATTTTAAAAATCTAAAATTTTAATATGTTCTTTAATTCACGAGTTTTTTTAGTTGAATATCGAATAGCTCTATTCGACTTGTTAAGAATTCGAATCGGATCAATTCGATTTAAATATTAATCAAATTTTAATTGATTGATCTTAAGTAACTCACTTACAGTCTAATATATGGGAAGCAAGCTTTGGATGCGGCTCCTTTGTAAGGGAAGTTGTTTATTTTACTATTTTTAAACTTGTATGTTACTATAAATACCATTATTTTCAACCCAAAACAGTTTTCCCACTTGCTCTCGTCTTTCTCGACAATCACTTCCTCTAAACCCTAAATATTCATGCGCTTTTTATTCCCTGTTTCGATAAAAAAAAGTAGTTGTCAAAACTTCAAATTTATGCGTTTCACAAAATATCCTTAATAATTTCTAACGAGTCTTTAACAAGTCTAAATCCCCATTATTGTTTGCCTTCAAACCCTCCATTTTTATTGTAATCTTAAGGATATTACGAACCTATAAATAGTGAAGGATGACGGATCCACGCCTGATTTAAGATGCATAAGTATTCACTTTGAACTTTGATTTTTCTTCGATTAATTATCTATTTTATCAATTGTGTCTATCTTAAAAATTTATTTATATCCATCATATACAAATATTTTTATATATTATTAATATGTATACTTATACTTAAAAATATTTCTAAATCCGCACGTATAATAACATAAGCTGACCCTCAAACCTCTATCATTGGTTCTCAACAATGCTATTGTCTATCTAAAGCGTTTGTGGGTGATATTCAATTTTATTTGTAGACTCGTGTTATATACACTACTGTTATCTCTCAGGTTATCCGTTTCGTTTTACCATGCATCTGCCGTCTCTACATTACTAATATACCCGCACTTAATATTTAGGGTACGTTTGATATATTGAAATTGATTTTTTGAAATATTATTTAAATAAAATGAATAATATTTTTTGAAAAATTATTTTTAAAAATTATTTTACGATATTTAAATGAAGGTGTATAAACCATTTTCAACTTGCATGGCTAGTGACATCAATTAGCTGGTATTATTATTTTAATTTTCGAAGGTTAGAGGCCAGAGGTAATGAAACTGAGAGTTTTGATCCCACTGTAATCTGTGAGGTGCTGTCAGCTTGTGGGGTCTGGTCCAGCTTCTCTCAGTATTGATGTGGCACCTTACTCTGTGCCTGAGGTTAACTGGTTTCCACTTATACTTTTAAAGGTTCCGATTCACTATTAAGATGTAAGACAGTATTTAAATGTGAACATTTTCCTTATAATGGATCTTGTTATTTCAACGTTTTTATCTATTAGGGACAAATATGTATTAAGCTGCTGTTTTGCCTAATATGGGTAGACAGGTTTGATGGTATAGTTTTTTTATTTTAAAAGTTGTTGGACTTTTAACCCATCTTACCATCAAACATGAAACCATACCATCAATCAGCTGGTTTGAATTAACATTAATAAGCTAAAGAATTTATGTTCATAAAAATCTATTTTGTATACTACATATTGGCGTTCTCAGTTGGAGTCAAACTTGGTGAATATTAATCACATTTCTAGAATGAATTCCTAAAGACGCAGAGATGGTGTTTGATGTGGCGGAAAGCCCGCACGTCGAACAACATCGAGGAAGAGGCTTTCATCACATGGAATGCAGAGTTTGGAATCATTGTTGAAATCATATTCATCCCGAGCTTGATCCAGCAATGCCTTGAATAGTGGGTGCTTAAGCAACGTGATTTTTATCACAAACCTCTTATACTTGTTACCAACATACACCACTAAGTGACCCTTTGGCACATCTTGAGGTATCGAGCTTCCTTCGTGCATGCAACTCGGCCACTTTGCCCACTGATAACAGCACTCGCAACTGCTACAAGGTATGACACTATTCCCCATCTTCCTCCATTTTGTGAAGCATGCATTTAGAAACTTCCCTTTCATCGTCTTCCAAGGAAAATGGATAGTGATCTGCAAATATAGATAAAAAGTAGATATAGGAAAAGAAGTTGCATATAATGATGAAACAGATGAAGTAAAAGATAGGGTTTTATAGCAGTTGGATAGTAAAAAGAGACAATCTTTGTATGTAGCATTAATGGTTGACAAGACAGGTACTAAGCCTACTCGATGTTGAGTTCGTATTGATCTAAGTCTTGGTAAATTAATGACTGTTGAAATGGTTGCCTTCTTTTTTTCCCCTTACAGTAAGCATTGGAGTTTTGACACGAAGGTGCACTAACATGCATCGCATGATATTAAAGTTCAACAAAATTATTGCTTTTTAAGTCAGTTAGGAAAGTGTGGTGCTTTTTTCAGTGATCTTTCGAAGTTCTCCGAAGTTATGACCTCACATATTATCAATAAAAAAAATATTTAAAATATATGAAAATTTAAAATTTTTAAGAGAGGAGACCGCCTATCTATCCATCACTGACTAGAGTTGAGCTAAGATCCTCCATAGCCCCACTCATTAAAACCCCTGATTTCACATTAGATTGAAGCAGCATATTTCTTGGTTTAGGTGGGTGTTTGGGCACCTTTTGGTTATAAACTTTCTTAGATTTTCAATGGGGGTTTTCCTATAAAGCAAGGCATACGCTTTTGCAGGCTGCCGAGTTCTGCAGTATCTCTGCAAACTGAGGATGGCGTAAACAACTTAGGTTACTGTCTTTGCCAGAGGAAGAATAAACAAAGAGAATGAAGGCCGTTACAATGTGCTGATCTAAAAACATTCCATAACTTGTGTCTTTGGCTCCATATTTACCCACAAAACCACTAGTTTAAAGCCTGTTTTAGCATCGCATAATGCATTCAAGTTTTATTTTTTAGTACATTTATCAAGATAAAAAAATGAAAGGGAAATATGGGGTGATTTGATAGGTAAAAGACAAATAGAAGATAGGCATCGAGGGTTTAAGTTTACAGAGACAGATGACTGAAAAGCCACGGGTTCATCCCCAGAAGACAAAATGTGCTGTAGTGGGTTGTCTGAGAAAAGAGCCTCTGGTTTTTACACATCATTGGAGTTGAAGCTGCCATCAGTTTTGAAGATACTCATTTTATTATTATTATTATTATTATTATTATTATTATTATTATTATATTATTATTATTATTATTATTATTTTATTATTAATAAATATTATTACAGGCCCAAATCAGATTGGACCGGCCCAGTTGCAAAAGACCCAACTGACCCAAACCTATCCGGAAATCCTAAACCCAGATTAGGGTTTGATCTCTAAACCCTAGCCGCCTCATCATCACAGCCGTTGGATCTGAGAGATTCAACGGCCCACACTCATCCAGCACAAACCCTAGGGTGATGATACCCTAGGGACACGTCCCAGCCGCTGCTTCCAGAAGACTCCACCGCCACACCAACGTTCCAGCTTCCACCACGTCTACCGAAGACTCCAGAAGGCCGGCCGTAACCGCACACGTCTTCCCCAAACGGTGAGTCACCACTGGAAGTCTGGTGACTCACCGAAGAACCCCTTTTAGACCAGTCCGAAGCCATCACCGGTGGTGGCTATAAAAGCCACCGAGCCCCTGCCAACAAGAAAAAAAAGAGAGGAAGAACGGAGAACAAAAACGAAAACCAACAGAGAGAACAACCAAAAATTGAGAGCAAAGATACAAAAAAGAGAAACCAACTCACCACAACTAGCAATCAAACCAAGAAGAGAGAAGGAGGAGTTTACCTTACCAGAGAACCCCAAACGGCACTGGAAAACCAAAAATACCGAAGGTATTTTCCTTAGATCTAGGAAAATCCCTAACTTTTTAGGATAAAAGAATGGTGAAATCGGGTTTAGGGTATTTAGATCTTTGGTTTGGGAATTTTTGGTGTTTTCCGACCACCGAAAACGGTGGCCGGCGGTAGTAATCACGGCGGCAGACGGTCGCCGCCCGGTAACCGGCTTCCCTCCGATGAGGGAAGCTAGAGAGAAGCCAGAGAATTCTGGCTCTCTCTCTGTTTGAGAGAGAAGAGAAACTGGGAAATGAGGGCTGGCCCTTCGGGCCAGCCGTTTCAGGCCTTAAATAGCCCTTCCCGAACGACGTCGTTTCGGGGAGGGCTATTTGTGTAATTTTTAATTGTTAAATCCCGTCCGCAGCCAATCTAACTTGTAACTCTTACATTTTAGTCACTAAATCGAGTTTATAATCATTTTAATTAAGATCTTTAATTTTAATTTTATTTATTTTAGTCATTTATATTAAAATAATATATTTAGGGTAAATAACAGATTTAGTCCGTTAATTTTAATAATTAATATTTTAATCTGAATAGTATGTTTTAATTTATTTTAATCTAATATCCGAATTTTATATAATTTTATTTTAGTCACTAAATTAATAAATAAAAAATAGCATGTTTAATCCCTATAATTTTGATTAATTATGAATTAGGTTTTTAATTTTAATTTTACTATAATTTAGTCACTAATTTTAAATGTTTTCATTTATTTTAATGCTTTTAAATATATCGTTCTAATTGTATTTTTATTGTTTTAATTTTACTTGTTTATATATTTAAATATTTTTATTATTATGTAGTCATAAATAAATATAATAAATAATAATTTATATTTTTTTCAATAAATTATTTTAATATTTATTTATCAATATCAAAGAAAATGGTAGTCTTAATACAACTGGATGTCTTATTCTGGTATTTTAAAATTAAATATTATAAAAAAATTATTCAAATTAATATTTATTAATATCAAATAAAAGAGCTGTCTTAAGGCACCTAGAAGTCCTTTTCCGATATTTTTAAATAAATAAATATTTTTTATATAATTTTGAAATAATAGGATTATAAATTAAATATATTTTGAATTTTTAAATTTTAATAATAGAGACAATTTATAATTAAAAAGTACCAATTTTGGGCGTTGTAGGGGTGTTAATCATTCCCTAAACGTAACCGACCACGAATCCCTTTTTATTATTAAAAAGAACAAATTTTTAGTTATAAACGCAGATCAGTTCATTTTTTAATTGATGTTTTCTTAAAACTCTTTTAAAAAATAATTTTTAGGTATTCGACCTACCTGACCCAAAAGGCCGATGGCGACTCCCAAATAATTTTCAAAACCATTTATTCACATCAATTTTCCCGCCAAATAAGTTTTTCGTGCCCGGACGAAAACCGGTTACGACAGCTTGGCGACTCCGCTGGGGACTGGTCAAACTTTAAAACCAATTATTAATTGTCTCTATCAATTAGAAAATTAAAAATTCATATATTTAATTTTTAATTCTTTCTTTCCAAATTTTTACATATATACTTATTTATTTTCATAATATTTATATGTTATTTAATGCTTTATTTTCAAATATTAAATTTTAGAGGTTTGAACATTTCTCCTCACACACAACACTTGCATTGCATAACATAAAGCTCTATAATTGAGTTTGTCCCTTTTAAGTGGGAGTGAAAGCGACGTCTTCGTGAGAATTTATTCTCCGTGTCAGACCTAGCAAGTAACTTTCGGGGTTCATATGCTTTATGTTTTCGTGAGAATTTATTCTCCGTGTCAGGCATAGAGAAATGTATCCCCTCGAATTGAACTCGATCCACTTTAGTCTGTGATGGATTAGGATTGAGGGTTAACAGCCCAAGGGGGCACTAACAAGGACAATTCGGGTACCTTTATTCTTAGATCTAAAACCTTGCATATAATAAACCCTAGAAACTCTTCCGATCTAAAGCCATGCCAAAATTTTGTCCAAAATAGGTATACACACAGGAGAGAAATGAATTCTAAACTTTCCTTTATTTATTTTCTTACTGATTAAATTACATGTAAATTTAAATTATTTAAATTATGAAAAAGCATGTTTAAATAAAGATATTTAGGTAGATATTAATATTAAATTTCTCTTATGTAAACTAATTCATTTCTTTTGTGTGTTCTTTATTTTTCTGTTTACATAGCATCATACAGGATAAAGGCATTGATCCTCGTGTTAATGTCTCATTGGAAAGCTTTCATCCATGGATAAAAAGTGCTCAAATCAAATAATTCTAAACTCAGAAGTAAGACAGTGGGCTGAGGACTTACAAAGACAAGGAGGAGACAGTCTGCAGGATGATTATGTATCTGACTTGGCCAGTTATGCTCCAGTTTCGCTAAAAAGAAATGATATGCAAGATTTGCGAGGCATTTGGGAAAGTTGGGATTCAAACAAAAAATTGCAGTTTTATCAGACTTACGGAGACATCCCATATTTGCTCTATGTCGAAGTGGATGATGAATTACTCAGAGCCCTAATTCAATTCTGGAATCCAGGGTACAATTGCTTCACTCTCAATAAGGAGGACTTGGTCCCTACTATTGAAGAGTACACAACTTTGCTACATATAGAAGGGGCTTTGGAGAATCGAATCTATTCAAAATCAATTAAAACTCAACCCTTTCGAGTTAAATTAGCAAAGATTGCCGGGGTACGAGAAGAATGGGTGGCATCCCGTACAAAACAAAAAGGCGAAAGCGAAGGCATTGCTTGGACCAACATTAAAGAACTTATTCAGAGTCATCCAGACACTAAAGTACGATTCGATCTTTGCTCTGGGTATGTATGTATGGTCATCTTCCAAAAGTATTGGGATATGTTGAAGCTGCAGTGGTAGATTGTTTGAACGCTACAAAAAAAGTAATCCTGTTCTGTAATTCTAGCAGAGACTTTCAGATCATTAAATGTTTGCAGAAAGCTAGGAGGTGGACGATTCTCAGGGTGTACCCAGTTGTTTATTAAGCTGCAGTGGTAGATTGTTTGAACAGCTACAAAAAAAGATTAATCCTGCTTCTGTAATTCTAGCAGAGACTTTCAGATCATTAAATGTTTGCAGAAAGCTAGGAGGTGGACGATTCTCAGGGTGTACCCAGTTGTTATATGTTTGGATCCGTAGCCATTTCTGGAAGACATAA